GAAAACGCCGGGTTTTTTTGCGTAACATGATATTTTACCTTTCTTCAGTCTCATTCAGATTAAATCGTATGGTTCCACACAATCCACAAAGTCCGGCACACACAAAAACATAAGGTCAAACTCATCTAGGACCAGGTTACTGACACAGAACCCTCCGTGGTGTTCGCATAAAGGCTAAAATGTTAGTATTACAATGATCGTGAGCGATATCGTAAGTTTTATTACAAAACCATCCAGTAAAGATTGTATGTTGTATCATGTTCCCCTGATCTTCCTCAGCATGACTGAACAAAACTCACCAGCCTAATTGACATAAATGCATTCCGGCCATCCCGATTCCTATGTGCAAACTCGGCCTGCAGTTGCCTCATTTTAGCTGATATAATCACTTTTGAGTGGTACTCAGTTAGGTGTCTGAAAAAACTGACATAATCGGTTATCGTTACAGACAAGCTGACAACGTCAACTGATCGACATACTCGCCAGCATTTTAGGCGACGTGTCTGTGATAATTTACCTCCGGTCGATTGAGATCTATTTACAGCACTTTTAGCCACTCTACGCCTCTCCCTCAATTTGTCGAATGGGAGGCTGGGGATTGTCGAACGGGTTGTCTGTTCGCTGAATGATCTCGGGATATGACCCACCAGTATGAAACTTTTAAATCAAAAGACCGACAGTTGAAAACCCTATGTATATATATATATATATCACTTCGTGTAGCAAACCTATGGGCTGACTGAAATGTTAAAGTATGTTCTAATCGGTTAAAAACCCAGTTGTTCCTTATATTTAGTTGTTCCATTCCTTACTGTTAGTGCAACTGATATACCCCTTCTTACATTATTATTGGTATGAGGCAAGTCAAATATGGAACTATATAAAACGAATCGTAACGTCTTACATCTGGAACCCCTTAATAGGCAGTTTTAAGCTTGAACCAGTTGCTGGTCTACTAAAGCGTTCACCCTCGTAAGCAGTCCCAACGAGCAGCAACCGCCCCCCCCCACACACCTTTCGCCCGTAATAAATGATTTTAGCACACTGATAGATTTCTACAATAGGCTACTCACGATAAGCATAAACTACCCAGAGCGCAACTAGAAATATCGTGTAGGGAGTGCTAGATTGCACTCGCAACCGGATGTAAAGCACCCTTTACGCATAAGTTACTGCAATCGAGTCACATCCAAACCAAAACTTTTCCAGAAGAACTAACAAAAGAGCTAGAATTAGCGCACCCGATCCAAAAACTTGTCACTGTTAAGAGTAGTTAATTGATCCACATATATTTCTCCGAAGGATAGCAGCTAGTGGGAAACTCCATTTGATTTGTCACAAGCCTGCGCGGTTTGACGGCTAAAACTCGGTGCGTCATTTGATTACAAAGTGGTCGTGTGACTTATTTTAAACTTTGAATACATATACTAATACACGTAATACAAACGATTTATCACAGTATTTTGACATGACCTGCGATTTCACTTCTACTGCAGAAGTGCACAGTCAGATAAGCTGTTGTGGATGCTACTCCATGTTGAACATGTGCATTTAAGTCACTTCAGTTAGACGTAATACACTAATCACAAGGTTGCTGAAAACTCTGACAGCGCACGACCGGTTTCGTCCTTCTTGGAGCTCATTAGGTAGGCGTCAACGTTATGTTCTTTTTTGACCCAAATTGCGCATCATAACCGGAAATTTCAGGTGGGTTCGAGGTGAGTCACCCGCTAAATCCAAACTGGCATGCAGATGAGTGTATTTCACTTCAGTTAGGTTTTTCAACTAAAAAGCCATTTACTGAAGTACAATGGCTCCAACTGCCGCAGCATCGTTTGCCGTGGTTTGTCTCGTCTCGTCTCGTTGTTCCCGTCCGGGGAGACGGCATTTGCCAACGTGAGTGAGTTGACCAGTAATGGCTTTCATTATCCGCTGCCAAGTCATGTACTGACCTCGCCTAGATCATCCCCATCTGATACGGGGCTGTGCGAATCGTGCCCTAGCCAACTCAAAGCAAACTGTAAAAGCAGCACGAACAGTAAAAAAAGTTCTTGGCTTCTTATCTTTCTAGCTCAAAATTCAGGTACTGTTCGATTTTGATATGAAATTTCCTTTGGATGGTGCTTGAGATTGTATATAGCTGATGTACAGTCAAGTTAAGATAGACCCAACTAATCGTTCCGTTTCAACAGCGAAACGTAGAACTGCTTGCTACCACATTTCGTTTGATAACTGCGGTTCTGAGTAATGAAAACCGTAGTAATCTACCGAGAATCACGTGATCAAGCATGTGGCCTAACCGTTGCAGTGGCCAGGGGAGCAGATTGTACAATCCCCTATTTGTCATTCTCCCTCACATCATACTTTCCTCTGAAGATTTTGTTCGCGTAGAGGACCGAGTACGGTGCAAATCAATTTGGCTTAGGTTGCACTGCAGTCAATGAGCAATAGCTAGTGTCATTTCGGGAGGAATACTTGTGTCAAATCGTGGTGGCAGCTAACTGGTCTTAATAAATACATATTAATGGCAAGGATGGACATAAATTTTGTGGACACTTGTTACTGACACAGAGTGATGACTTCGAGTCTTGGATGCAATTACATTGGCTGCTTGAGGACCCAGTTACGCGTGTCACAAATGCGTCGGCCAATGTAAAGCTTCGATCAGGAAATGTGGCTAGGTCGAATTCCCGAGATTCCGAATATTTTGAACGTAGAAGATTTGGTCATTAAAAGATTGTATCTTTCTGGGACTATCAGTCTTCTTACTCGCCAATTTTTCGCACACTGATGAAATTCTTTATTTATCTACAATATGTACAAAGAAATGATGCCGGTCTCCCAACACGGACTATTCATGTTCGATTCCTCACAAAAGAAGACCAAATGAGCCGTTGTTCGAAAAGTTTAATTACACGGGTTGGATCAACTTTGTTTTAGCCAAAATGTCAGCCAAACTTTGCCGACCTTCGGTAGCCCTTGTTTCCCTCATCGGTTATGAGTTCTTTTATCCGTCTTGAGTTTGTTTTGCTGGCTTTATACATGTTCTTTTCTTTAAAAAATTCCCAGAGAAAGAGTTCGATTAGGAGCAGATCAAATGAACTTGTTGTTCCTCGTCTGTGGCCCCCCTCAACCAATCAGCTGTACAGGAAATTGTTCCTCCAGCAAATCACGGACGCCCAGTTCACTGTATGGGGATGCCTAACCACGCTGGAATCACTTCACCCTGGGTTTGCCAAGGTACTTCGCCTTCAAATACATTCGTTCTGTGGAACCTTCAAATAAGTATACGAATATCATGAATGAGAGATACGGCCGAGTCTCCTGTGAAAACCAGATTGATATGCAAATGGGTGCATTTGTCGAAATCTGTTCAGTTTAGGTTCAAGTAGAACATAAGGTTGACGGAAACTGAGGGTCTGCGCCCACCTGATGAACCCCAAGAAGGGCGAAACCAGTAGTGGGCTGTCGAAGAGTTTTCAACAACTTTGTGAGTAGTTTCTTTTTTGACGGCATACGAACTTTTTTATGTTTCACTGGACTCCCGTCAGTATATCTGGCCCTGAAAAGTTCTGCACGCTATTTCACTTTGTAACGTCCCAGTACAGTGAACACTACGAGTGTCTACTCAACCCAAACCGGTGAAGCAATTGTTGCGCTTGGGGGTGGAAATTTGATTGTCCCAGCAAATGTGTGAAACTAACGCAATTTCGGTGCTTATTGACCATAGGGTTGATATACAGATGAGTCCATTCGCGTGGCTAGTTTCAGGATCTGACGGTAGACCGCTTTGTGTACGCCAGCATAGTTGTCTCCCAATAACAACGCCTAGCAGGAATCAGAAAATTCGCACTATGATCCATCATCTTATTAATACAAACTGGTTCTATGTGCAGATACTTGATAACCTTTTGGGATGATAAGGCTATCGGACCATCCCATGCACAAGAGGCTCTATAGCTTACGAAAAAATGGAGATACTTCTTGTAATACTAACATTTCGCGCAGTACTGACATGTCACATGCTGCGTTTTGGGAGAACAGCCTCCACGATGCGTTGATTGATCTTTATCTGGAAGTCGCCTTCATATGGGGTTTGTCGTACATTCTGTTAGGAGGCAATCCGAGGTTAGATGGTGACGCTTATATAGATAGGCTTTCAGGAGGGGTGTGTAAGGCCTAGCCTAGAAAGTTTGTGTAAGAAACAAAGATTTCAAAAGATAAACGTCGTTCCAACCTGGAAACTGCCTTGTTCAAAGGTAGGACTTCGTAACTTGTCTTTCTCAACAGTGTTTGTGCATTTTGGAAGTTCATTCTAAAAAATCACTCCTCAGACGGACTCGTTATTGTATTAATCACTAGATTTTACGATTTTGTACGCCAGTCTCCCTCTTGTTTTGCTGCTCTATTCAACTTTTCGGTGAATGTCACTTTCTATCCTGATTCGTTTCACTCATATCCAAAGTCCGAATTATACAGTATTGGTAAGACTGCTTTGTGGAGGTTCTATGGGTCTCATAGCTCCTAACGAAGCAGAAAGCGTGTAGCTCCAGTGTGACAAGCAAACCGTGTGTTTGCCTCTGCCCATTTTGTTTAGATTACTCTGTCCCAGCACAGTCTCGGGGCTAGGATGTGGTGTTTTATAAGGCAATCATGTCAGGAGACACAAATAATAGTAGCGAGACGTTGGGGACATTGATAGTGAGAACCCATTTGTGTTTCGTTCTACGATGACCATCCAGGCCATAAAAGTAGACGATAGACGATCGTAAATCTGTCAAACTAAGAGAGACAAATGTATGCGTCTCACAATTTGCCTGCAACGTCCTTACACTTACAGCAGACATGAGCGTTCGTAGTCGCGTGGTTCGTCTTGGCGGTGCCAGAACACACACACACACAAAACCAGTTGCCACACCAACCAGTGACTACTGCCAAGGCCGTTGTGCGCAATTTCGTACCTCCGGAGCGTTGCGTGAAAAAATTCGAGGAACACACGAATGTGTGCGAGTTCCGACCGTGTGGGCACGTTTTTGTTCTATGGGCATCAAACGGGTGATCGTGAGAAGAAAAGACAAACGCTCCAGTCTTTCCCGGCGTCTTATGATGCTGACTTGTTCGAACAAAGTGATCAACTTTTCCGACCCTACCTCATAGCAAAACCAACACTAGGTGACGCTATCAATCTCGGTGTACATATGTTGCTCGTTTGCAACTGTTATGTAGGACCGGTTCCGGTCAGTCGACGTGTGCACGCTATGGTGGTCGACACGAGCAACCCGAAAAGAAGTTCCGGCAATTTATGCCTCTCCAATCTGATGGATCATGAACAACGGTAGCGAACAGGCCGCTGCTTCAAAAGAGGGTGGGAGGACGAAACGTTGGTGTGCCTGAACTAAAGAGGGTACTTGTGACAAGACCCATATGCCATTGGCTGTCACCTGGTCTTGACCAGTGATTTGAGAAATAAAGCAGTTTCACCTCCCGCCGGCAACGAAATTTGTGCCGCGTGATTTAGATGCTTGACCAAAAAGAAAATTGGATGCACACACAAAGACAAGGTTTCTGCACATACGCCCTTGTAGCTGCCTATCTTTATACCCTAGTATGTGAACGTGCGCCATCGTCCTTTGTGCGCATGTTTCCAGTCCCAGGATGACCTCGGATAATTACAAGGTTTGTTTCTGTTAGTTCTCATCGTTAAGTTTTTATGGCAAACAAAGATATGGGTCAGACGATGAGTAGTTCGAAAGACTGTTTCATTGTTTCATAGAAATTTTCAATCAGTGGCCGGTAGAAGCGGTCAAATGTAAAAGTTATGCCTTTGGACTTGCATAGACGCCTTGTCCCCACCGTGATGTAACCCCGCTCGGAGGGGAGGGAATAACGGATGTGTTTGCACGGGACAAATCAGGATCCACCACACATCAGTAAGACTCATTTTCACAAACAACCCCTTCATGCTGCTGTTCGGAAGAACCAGTGTACAGTTGCCCTCAGCAATGTTCAACTTGTTCGTTCTTTTTCTTGGTGTCTATTTATCTATTTACAATTCATGGCTAATTATACCCAGACGCTACCTCACCAGTGTCCGAAATGCTGTCTGTGTTTATTATCCATCTGAATCTAAGTAGATTAACTCTAATAAAAATACTGGTCACCATTTTAGAAAGCGCCGTCAACTAAGTCCTGCCATCATCATAACGTCAACGTCTGCTTTTCGAGAAAAACTGACGATGGCATTATAATGAGCTCAGGCTTCAGAAATGTCTCCTTCAGTAAACCTAGTTCTTTGGTGTAAATAAAATGGTTAATGAATGTCATTTGACACTTTCTGGAAGGCGCACTACTAATAAGGCTGCTGGAAACTTTTCGACAGCCCTCCTTGGGATTCATCAAGTAGGCACAATCCCCCTGCCTTCGTCGACCGTATATTCTACTTGTACGCAATTTGTGAAATGTACCAATTTGGTTTTAACAGGAGATTCAGCTGAATTCCAAGTAATCGTGTTCAACCGAATGTGCTACACAAATGCCTTTTCAAGATAGAAGAATCGTGTAAACTATATTCTGCTAGTAGTATGTATTTGTTTTGTGTGCAAAAACGGTGGAAACTCATTTCGGCAGGCTTACATACAACTAGGTAGGTAGCTAGCTTTCACAGAATGTGTAGTCTTCAAAACTGTGCAATCAGCTTGCTTTTTAGTTACTTCGAGTTTTATCGGCTTGTGGCAGACTAAACAGCTCATCATTTTCACCTTCCTATATGAGACTGAGATGATCGTATGGAATATCACGCTCATTCTTACCACTGTATCTGTTTCATTAAATTGCTGCTGTGATTGTTGACCGGAATCCCTCGTCACAAATGGTGTGGCGGGACAGCGGGGAAGGTCTGTGATGTCTTTGCCTGCGCCCCATCAGGTTCGTTCGTGATCAGGTTACATAGGGTTACGACTTTGGTTGTACTAATGATGGATATCTTCCTCTCTCTTAAGCCATAAGGACCGATCTTTTCCAGCAAGCTTCATGATCCAAGTTCTTTGATTTCAGCCACCCGTGTTACTGGTCGATATTTCTGAATTTCCACAGGATACTGCACGTGCGGTCGTTTAGTAACGTGACAATGTTGGTTGTTCAACATATCTTTTCCTCCAGCGGTGTAAGGTAACCTCGACCATATGCGCCAAGTGAACAGAAGATAAACCAGGGTTCATGCCACTTGATCCAAGAGGTGCGGTCAAATAGGTAAAGGGTTAAACTTAATAACTAATAAAGTGAGGAAGTTGGAATTTCTTGAGTTCACCGGGGCTCGGGTGAAGGCTTTGATCAAAGCGACGGCGGGAGTGATGAAGCAGTGTCAGAGATTGTGCGAGTGCGGTGACAGCTACTTTTGTGGCAGATGAGATCTACCGAGGAAACCACCGTCGGACAGGAGAAATGACAGAAAACAGGTTGATGAAAGATTAGTGTGTCCTTAAAAACAGTGATGATACAACCCACGTACGTTGTGTAGAAGAGAACCGTAGCCTCAGAAATCGGTCCATCGTTTGGCTCTATTCCGCGATGAAACGAACCGTCAAGCCTCTAGCGAGTAGCTTTGTTTTCCCGGGAGCAAATAGTCTTTTAAAACTTTCAACTGTACGAAAAACATAAGGAAGTAATCACGTTCACTTAATATGATTCAACAAGAGAAACAATGAAAATTGCCTCATCCTAATACCTGCTAACAGTGAGTGCTCTCATGCGAATGGATAACCTCTATGCCTTACTGAATGTTCTTCCTTTAGTTTGCTGAAATATCATGGTCGATTTAGCCACAACAGGTAATCAACACGTAAATCAACCTTTACCCCTCACATCACCAGATTTCGGCTGATTTCGATGAGATTGCTTTTTTAAAAGTCAAATAAAACTCTTGATTATCATCCCTAACACAGAGCAGCAATTTGCATAACGTTAACGAAATGAAGCTTGATTCATGATACTGCGTTAGACAGCGCAGTCGGTTAGTTAAACGAAGTATGTAAAGTGCGCATGTTGATTCCTGCTCTTTTGTGATTTCACGTCATGAAATCAACTTAAAAGCAGGAACACACCTTTCATGGAACTCTGAAGATTAGATGACTCCACAGAGTGAACTCTTCCAGTTGGTTACTGTATAGATGAGTTTTCCACGAAGTCTACATCGAAGCCAACGTTCCTCACAGCGGCTGTTTTACATTCGCTGCATCTGTCCCCTGAACGGAATATTTTCCAAGCCGCGCCATCAAAAACAATATCTTAACCAGCTTCCACTTTTTTTCTGTCTCGAGTAAATCGCCGATATAATCTGTCATCGGGCAAGTGTAGATATTGTCGCACAATTCATCTTGTGAGGAGAATATTATAGGAGAAAACTGATGCCCCAGGACGAAAATACTTGAAAGTGTTATCTATCGGCAGTTTAATGTCGGTACAAAGATGAAAGTGAAGCACTGTAGCTCCTTCCATCCACCCTTTGTACTTTTCCTTATAATTCATAAAACCTGTTGAACAGCATGTGGTCTGAATCTGATAGATTGTAAAAAAAAATCGGTCACTTACTTGCTGCTGACTTAGCCCCATTAGGCATATTCATTTGGGTCATTTTGAACGCTCATGTCATCACACACTGTCACGGCTGAAGAACTACTTTGTTGACCGATGCTGACCGTCAGGATTCCGGTTAATTTATCATCCGCAACCTCAGCATCACCATTATCCCCTTCGTGGCCATCATCAATATTTGTTTTACACGCACGTCTTGCCTCATTTTCAGACCATGCGCGCGCGTGTGTAAGACTTTTAAACACATTTAGCCGCTGTGTGTGGTTTTTCTCTGCATGCGTGCGCGCGCGCGAACTATAGGAACTGGTCCAACATTCTCTTGGTGGTGGCGATGTTGACTGAGTACATGGCGGGCGCGAACAAGCGGCATAGACAACCTTGCTAACGCTGTCCCAGATGATGATGAAGTGAAGTGACATTCATAAAACCTCTCTTTTTTAAGTTGCTCTGCTCAACGCTTCGGCAATTCAAAGGCCCGCGTCCCGTTTTGTAGTCTAGCGAACGAGCAGTCAACCAGCCAGCCAGCAAGGCAAGCAGGCAAGCAAGCAAGCGGACAAGAAGGATAAGCGCATCTAAAGTTGCTGAGGCAGAAAAAACAAGCTGACAATCGAAAAGATGCAAACTATCCACTACCCCATGCTGGGTGGTAGTGGTGGTGTTGTTGGTAATCTTTCATTGTCACCAATGTTTGATGAAGCAGCAGTTTGAGAATAGTTCCTCACGCTCACATCAACCTCAAGCGTAATGACCAGCCAACCGGAGTGAAGTGGAAGGGATAAAGCAGAACCGCCTTGTTTGAGAACGTGGTCATTATTCTTCCACAGTTGACAAACGAGGAAAATGAATGAGGTTGATTGACCCACCTGCGTGTATATTGTTTAACTGCCACCTACAGACTGAATTAAAGATGCGTATTCGCAATACGCAGATGTATGAACTGCCAGTTACAAACTTTTTTTCTAGTTTCCCCGCAACCTGCTCTTTAGGCTGCCATTCTATGAATGTATTAGTGGAACTAGTGTCCCAATCAAAAACGCTCTGTGTTCCCTCTAGTCTATGTATGAAATCTACCGCCTAAATTTGTGTGTCATGTTTTCACATTCGGATCTGACGGGAATAAGAAGTTGTCGGAAGAACTGCACCTCCTTTGATGTACGAATGGAGCATGCTAAAACTTCCTTTCAAATCCCGATACATCATTACATTACAATTAAACGCTTACTCAAATAAAGAAGGCATTGAAAATATGGACTCTGTCCTGTAATTTAATTCAACCTGCACTGAAAAGCCAATAAACCTCCGTTAGGGGATTGTTGATTTTGCGGAACACAAGAAGCCCAAGAAACACTACTCGTAAAGTTGCTGAAAATTCCTCGACAGTCCACGACCGGCTTCGTCCTTCTTGAGGCTCATCAGGTAGGCGACGAATTTTCAGCAACTTTATGAGTGGTGCATTACGGATATACATATGTCGCGATATCTCGAATACCGTATCGACTGCAACTTGAGGCAGCCTGGTGCAGCACATTCAGTTGCCTGGAAACATCACAAACGGGAGATTCAACTGGGTTCTAGGCGAGTCTCTCGAAAAATCAAATTAGTTTGCAAACGAGTGTATTTTGCTAAGCTTTAGAAGCATTCTATTCTACAAATTACTGCAACTTAGTAATTGACCGACCCACTACTCAGCTGCTGAACAGCGTGACCAACTTGCACCAATAGATGATGGGAAAGCCTCACCCACATTGTT